CCCCAAAACCCCAAAACCCCAAAACCCCAAAACCCCGGATTTTTGTGGGAATTTTAAAATAAATATGAAGTTAGCGAATTTATTGAGGAAAAGGAAAAAGGAGAGGAGAAATATGGAAGGTGAGACCTGTTTGGAGGTTAGGAGTTGAGATAGAAAGTGATGGATGAGTGGATTAAAGAGAGCGGAAAATTTTGTTGAAAATCTGTGGAGTTAGCTTTTTGAGAGATACTTTTGAGATGAATTTGAGTTTGAAGATTTTTTGAGAATTATAGTTGGGAAGTTAGGAGGGGTTAGAGAGCTTAGATTAGTGTGTTATTGATAGTTTATGCAATCTACTTTTGCTAATTCATATTTTTGGTGTTCGGACTAAAACGTTTGGATATAGCTGGATCAAACCCAAAATTAGCTTCTTATCTACAAATTTCACCTGATCAAGGGAAACCAGATCCCAGAATTTCAAATGAAACCTCTCAAAGCAGTGATCTCTCAATCATTAAAAGGAGCAAAAAGGATAATATGGTGAGAATACACAACAATGTTGAACCCTTCTTCAACATCGATGAGGATGACCACACACCTCAAAGAAAATCTACTGAAGACATTAGCCCTCTAATTTTAGACTACAAAATTTGTAAGCAGTATTACTTCCCAGCTACAAAAGATTGCTTGGACACCCTAATTTCCCAAAACGGTCAAACAATTCCCAAAATAGCAATCCCAGAGTTCGCTGAGGTATATGACAAAGGGGCTAGCTATGACATGTCGGATCTCTTCCAGTCTACAGGAATGGAAAGGTATTCTTCTGAAGAAAAGGCACTTTTGCTTCTACATGCCTACAAGCACAATTTATTCGAAACCTCTTTTGAGAAGAGTCTCTATCATCGGTTCATAATGTACATCTTCGAAAGACATATCTTCAGGCCAATACATGAGAAAGTGCTGGTCCCTGTGATCAAAGCCACTAAGAAAGACACAGAGTCCCTTGTTCACACCTCTAAAATCAAGAAGGGTCTCTTCAGGCTTAAAAATAAGGAAAAATTAGCGAAAGAATTTGAGGTTGAAGAACTCAAGAAGTATATTAAATAAAATCAGACGTACTAAAAGGTAAACAACTTGGCTTTATTCGATAGACTTTTAAAGAAAGCTATGATGCAGTCTAGCATACAAGGCAAAAGAGTTCAGGACTTCAAGAATTTGATCCAAGAAGCAGAGGACTGGGTTACAGTACCAAAGCATGAAAAGTATTAGTTTTATGGGGATTATTTCTATAGAGTGTATATAAAAACTTGTGAGAAGAGAATAAAAGAGGCTGAGAAGCATTCTAAAGAATTTGAATCCCTCGCCACCAGCATGAGAGTAGTCCATCATCTCACTCTTGAAGCTGACAGTAAGTGAAATTTCACAATATCAGGAATCGGTAACCCAGTAGTATACCACACAGAGCCGGAGCCTACCATAGACGCCCTCAGACAAATCGGGTTTCACAGTTTAGCTACTCAATGGTGCCAACTCTCTAAATAAAATTCTCAATCGAAACCTCTCAAATTTGTTATAAATCAATTCAATTCTAAAATATCTATCTGGGGTTTTGGGGTTTTGGGGTTTTGGGGTTTTGGGG